AGTAACTGACCTCCTGATGAAACCACTGCCCAAGACCACTAGTAACTGACCTTCTGATGAAACTACCGCCCAAGGACCACTAGTAAAGGGAAATAACTGGCATCCATAATAGCCTACTAATAAACTTGTTACTAACTCACATTGCCTCTTTGTCTTTGAAAAGTCTATTATATACACTGTATTTAATGAAGCCACGAAAATTCTTGTAAATATAGGAAAAAAATTAATCACCTGATTTTGTTGCTGTAAAACTTGAATTTCATTTTTAAGTCGCAGAATATCATCTTTGACAATCATGTCAGAAGTAGAAGAGTTGGGCCATAATTGATTAGTTGGTGTCTCTGAGCTACCTGTTTTAGTCTGATTAAAAAGAAGTTAAAAGTTATTCAGGTTCTTGAAATTTTTTTAAGTATCCATTTTTAAATAAAATCACATTTACAAAGAAATTGCAAAAATAGTTAAAATAATTGCCATATACCTTTCACCCATCTTCTCTAAATATAGCCACAGTACAATGATCAAAACCAGGAAATTAACACTGGTACAATACTATTTAATTAATCTACAAAACTTATACAAATTTCTCAATTTTCCTCAAATGTCCTTTTTCTGGCCCAGGATCCAACCCATGATCTCACATTTCATTTAGCTGTCCCGTCTCCCTAGTCTCCTCCTACCTAGAACAGCTCCTTGGTGTGGCTTTTTTTTTTTTGTCTTTGAAACCTATGATATTTTTTAAGAGTACCAGCCAGTCATTTTGTAGGATGTCCCTCAATTTGGGTCTTTCTGATGTCACTTCATTATTAAATTCAGGACATGCACCTTTGGCATGAATGCCACAGAGGTGGCGGTGTGTCCTTTCTAGTGCGTCGTATTAGAGGCATGTGATATTGCTATATCTCATCAGTGATGATGTTTAACTTTAACCAGTTGGTTAAGGTGGTGTTAGCCAGGTCTCTCCATTCCAAAGTTACTTTTTATCCATTTGCAATTACTAAGTATCTTATGAAGAGATCCTTTGAGACGATGTAAATATCCTGTTTCTCACTATACTTTTCACCTACTAAGTTTAGCATTTGTTCTATTTCTGTATTTGTATCAGTATGGACTCATGGATATTTATTTTATTCAACAGATAAAATTTTTAAGACTAATGATAGACTTTGGTAAATTGCTTTCCAGAGAGGTTATACATATTTATACTGTCAGGTAGTACTTGAGTCTGTCCAACTCTCTTCACCTCCAATAACAGTGATTATCTTCAAATAATCATTTTATTTAATGGGGAAATCTAACAATTGCCTTTGTTTGCATTTCTTTTTATTGCCACCAGAGTGAAATCTCTCACATATCTTCACTGTTCATTTGTTTATCTTCTCTGGTTTGTCTCGTTATATAACTTTGCACATTTTTCCTCTTGTAATCTGTTTTCCTTTTCTATTTCTATAAGTTCTTTATTCATTTAAACATCATAAAGATGAAGACATAGTCTCAGGGGACATCTAGTTCAATTGGCATAACATAGTTTAAAAGAAAAAGTTCTACATCCTACTTTGGTGAGTAGCGTCTGGGGTCTTAAATGCTTGTGAGCAGCCATCTAAGATACTCCACTGGTCCCACCCTGTCTGGAGCAAGGAAGAATGAAGAAAGCCAAAGACACAAGGGAGAGATTAGTTCAAAGGACTAATGGACCACAACTACCACAGCCTTCACTAGACTGAGTCCAGCACAACTAGATGTTGCCTGGCTACCACCACCAATTGCTCTGACAGAGATACAACAGAGGGTCCTGGACAGAGCTGGAGCAAAATGTAGAACAAAATTCTAACTGACAAAAAAAGACCAGACTTACTGGTCTGACAGAGACTGAAGAAACCCCAAGAGTATGGTCCCTGGACACTCTTAACTCAGTACTGAAGTCACTCCTGAGGTTCACCCTTCAGCCAAAGTTTAGACAGGCCCATAAAACAAAACGGGACTAAATGGGCACACCAGCCCAGGGGAAAGGATGAGAAGGCAGTATGGGACAGGAAAGCTGGTAATGGGGAACCCAAGGTCGGGAAGGGGAGAGTGCTGACACATCATGGGGTTGGCAACCAATGTCACAAAACAATATGTGTATTGTTTAATGAGAAACTAATTTGCTCTGTAAATGTTCATCTAAAGAATAAAAAAAAAAAAATCAAACTAAATAAAGATCATAAAGATTTTTAAAAATACCTAAACCAAAAAAACGAAACCTGCTGCCATCGAGTCAATTCCGACTCATAGAGACCCTACAGGACAGAGTAGAACTGACCCATAGGGTTTCCAAGGAGCAGCTGGTGGATTCCAACTGCCGACCCTTTTGGTTAGCAACTGAGCTCTTAACCACTGCACCACCTGGGCTCCTAAAATGTACTACAAGGTATATAGAAACCAAAAAATATATCTGTACCTTTAAGATGTTCCTACAAGAAACATGGCAAAGAGACTACATAGTAAATATTTTTACTTTGAGAGGCTTTAGGGGGAGGATTTTGATGACCCAGCGCTCTTTAAAAAGATGTTGAGGGAAGTTTGAGCTAATATGTTCTTTCTCTTAATATATTTCCCTATAGCTAGCAGAGAAGTTCAACTAGATTTCTAACCACATATTCACTCTGTAGTCACACCAACTTATATACTATGCTCATGGTTGAAATGTCTTTTCTATCTTGTCTCCTGAATTTGTCCTTCAGGACAGAGATCAAATGTTCCCTCCTTAATGACTTCATTAAGGCCACCTTATCATCCCACCCCAACCCAAGTGTCATGGATTGAACTGTGTCCCCAAAAATATATGTCAACTTGTGAGGCCATGATTTGCAGTATTGTGTTGTTGTCTTCCATTTTGTGATCTGATGTGATTATCCTCCATTTTGCAATATGTTGTAAATCCTAACCTCTATATGTTCAGGATCAGTGGAGGGTATATATTGAGTCACACCCTTGCTTGAGTCACACCTTTTATCTTACAAGAGATAAAAGGAGAGAGAAGCAAGGAGAGACGAGACGGACCTCACAACCACCAAGAACGAAGAGCCAGGAGCAGAGCACATCCTTTGGACCTGGGTTTCCCTATGCTAAGAACTGCCTAGACCCAGGGGAAGATTGAAGCAAAGGCATGCAGAGATCTCCAAGGAATGCTGGGCCCACAGATGTTGAAAGGAGACAATGACCTTCCCCCAGAGCTGACAGAGAGAGAAAACCTTTCTCTAGAGCTAGTGCCCTGAATTTGGACTTCTAGATTCCTAAACTGTGAGAGAATAAATTTGTCTGTTAAAGCCATACACCTGTGGTATTTGTTACAGCAGCACTAGATAACTAAGACACCAAGTTATTATTCCTTCTCATAGCTCTTTGTTCATAATTAGTATCTCCCTTATTATACAGGTGCCCTGGTGGGACAGTGGTTAAGAGCTATGGCTCCTAACCAAAAGGTCAGCAATTTGAATCCACCAGGTGCTCCTTGGAAATTCTATGGGGCAGTTCTACTATGTCCTATAGAGTCACTATGAGTCAGAATCAACTCAATGGCAATGGGTTTATTACACACTTATAGATATCCATCTCTGTATATAATCTGCACTGTTAAATATGGTAGTCATTAACCACATGTGGCAACTAAGCACTTGTTATGTGGCTAGTCCAAAATGAAATGTGTAAAATGCATGCCAAATTTCAAAGACTTAGTACAAAAAAAAAATCATATCTCATTAATAATTTTTATATTGATTTACATGTTGAAATGAGAATATTTTAAATATATTAGGTTAAATAAAATATACTATTAAAATTGATTTTAATTCTTACTTTAATGGGACTATTAGAACATTTAAATTACACATCTCTTGCACTATACTTCTACTGGATAGTGCTGTTCTAGATTCTAAGTTCCTTCATGGAATGGCCTTCGTTTCTTTCATCACTGAACCCCACAAGACCCTGTACAGCATAGCTTAAAAAAATATATCCATATATGTGTATGTGTGTGTGTATATATACATATATATATGCTTAAATTCACTGATTTGCTCTTCCTCCACGTACCTTCCAACCACACTTTCTGACTTACAGATTAAATAAAAAGCACCATCAAAAAAAATATGAGAAATAAGAGGCAAAGGTAAAGTCTGAAGTTGTTCATGGCTAAATTTTATGACTATGAACTTGAGTGTTCTTGTATTACACTATCTGTTGGTTACACTACTACTTCATCTCCCTTTCCCTCATCTAGCAAGTGGATCAATAAATGTACTAATTTCACAAATATTTACTGAGAAAACATGCAGAAAATTATCAAGACAATATTCTCAAGAAATCCCTATATAGTAACCGAAGCAGAAAAGACATAAGCAGGAAGGGTTGAAAAACCAGAGTTTAGATGTAGAATGTTGAGAAAACACCTTAGCCAAAGAGCAGCTGGACAAAAAGAGTATTCAGCTATGGGACAGCCTTCTTTGATCTACTGATCAACCAGACTATAGAAGTAAAGAGGAAGGCTACAAAAACAACACAAGGTGTGCCCACCAACAACTGCCACACATGGGCAAGCATATCTGTGTAGCAAATGCCATTAGAATCTGCATCACAGAACAAAGAAAGCAGCCAGATAAGTTAAGGCCCAGACTCAAATTTGGGTTCCTATTCTCCTAAATCTTGGGCTATTCTCACCAAGAAGCTTAAAATAATGAACTCTAATCTCTCATACAAATTGAGACACACTCTTTCATTCTCACTTGTTTTAAGAAACACATGGAAACAAAATAGTTTTACTTAAAGACGTTAAATGTGGTCCTAGTAGATGAGTGGGGCTTTCTCATTTGGTGATTAAAATTGAAATCAATGCTGTACTCATCAAATACAGTTACACAGAAAAAGACACCAGCCTTGACAGAGCTTTAGAACACACTACTATTTCTGCAAAATAAATTACCCACAATTAAAATTCCATTACAATAAGCATCATAGAAGGATTGTCTTAATGAACACAACTCCTAATTAAAGAATCAGGATAAAAAATGGTACTAAAGCAGGAAGTAAAAAGTTATTTCCGTACAGGAGGAAAAGGAATATACCATCTACATTCATTTTTCCCTTTCCTTTCCATAGTTATTCAGTCTTTTATGTATTATTTTCTATTGGGAGACTAGATGGGTTGGGATTTGTGACATACAGAACGGGAAAAGGGCAGCTGTTAAAGAAGAGCAGCCCTAAGGACCTCTGAGATAACATGATTTTGTGGAAATAACCTTGGTCTATTTATTAGTCAGTCTCTGGGTGGCGCAAACGGTTTACGATCGCCCACTAATCTAAAGGTAGGCGGCTCAAACCTACCCAGTGGCGCCATGGAAGAAAGGCCTAGCTATTTGCTTCCATAAAGATTACAGCCAAGAAAACCCTATGCAGCAGTTTTACTTGGTAATATATGGGGTCTCCATGAGTTGGAATTGATAGCAATGGGTTTGATTTGCTTTTGAATTTATTAGTTGTGTGTTTTCACTTCAATTTGCCTTAGGATTTGCCTCCAGCCTCATGGTGGATTTCAGCTTTTTGATTCTATGACTCTGACGTCTCACCTTGATTCAGCTCCTCTCCCATCTGTACCTCTACAACATAATTTCCTTCTACAAAATGACTCTTGTTATAAGAACATGAGTCAGAGAACTTTCATAGGATTCCATTGTGGAGAATTTATTTTAACTAGATTTTAGAGTACTGTTGGTACAGGCCAAACTTAGGGCAATACAGACACCTTGTTATGTAGAATGATTCTTTGTATTTGTTGTAAAGGAATTTGACCTAATTGACATCGCATTTGCTAGGTGCCAAGACTAACCAGAAAATATGTTCCTTTAAGTGGCATTTCCTTCTTTAAACTTTACCTCTACAAAAGGCAATGAACCTCTGAAAGCTAAAGGTTTAATTTAAATGTGTAAAATATAAAAGTTTTCTTAACACTTTTTAAAAATAGTCCTTTAACTTTACAAACTCAACAAACATCAACCTTCATGCTTTTCTCATCCTTCTCCACTTCTTGGAGATCTTCAATTTTTTTATGACAGTCTTTGAGTTCATTTCGCAACTGGGAAACAAGCTGGCGCTTCACTGAGTTGCTACCCAGTAAACATTGTACTTCTGCTTTCAGCTTCAGAATGACTTCTTCTTTGGAAAGCTCTTCATTTGGGTCTTCTTGCTGCACAATGCTAATAGAGAAATTGCAATTTTTAAGATTAAATTTAGTAGCAAATCACGCACGGTAATTCCTTAAAAGCTACTAACCGATTTCAACTCATAGCTACCCTACAGGACAGAGTAGAACTGCCCCCATAGGGTTTCCAAGGCTGTATATCTTTACAGAAGCAGACTGCCACATTTCTCACATGGAGCAGCTGGTGGGTTTGAACTGCTGACCTTCTGGTTAACAGCCTAGCGCTTGAACCACTGAGACACCAGGGCTCCTTAAAAGTTACTAGCCATAGTGATAGCCATGTTTTGTGACCTGGTACTATACTAGTATTTCAAACTCTTTGTCATATGCAAGAGTACCTTTGCCATGTCCCCACATACAGAAATAACTTTATTCACAGGAAGACCATATCCAAGCTTATGCAGTCCTGCTGCCTCACTATAAGGAGTTTAGCTCTGTGATCTTCAACATGGCTTGCATTTTTGTTTTTGGTAAATTGCAGACTATATATGTATGCCTTTTATGACTCCAAAAGAAACATAAAAATTAAGAAAAAAAAAAGTATATATTAGCCATCCTAAACAATTCGTGTATCTCTTTTAATTTATTAAAACACAAGACTGGGTGAATATCTGAGCACCTGGGGGAAAAAAAAAACAGAAATAAAACCATGCTTAATATCAACCCAATGTTAAGTGTCAATAAATTTCAAAAAGTGGATGAGAATTTCTGCTTCTTATCACCATGGAGTAACAAGGAGCAGACTTATTATCCTTCTGCCTTAGATAACCAGGAAACTAAATAAAATATATGAAACAATGGTTTTCAATCATTCAAACAGCTCAGTATAGTGATACTGAGAAGGGAAACAGCCATAGCACAGAGAGGGGAAACCCAAACAGAGCTTTGCAGTCTCACGGAGCTGCAGAGAAAGAGTTATGGGGAGGCCAAATGTGAGAATTTGAGGGAGAAAACACGGGGCCAGAGACAGCTACACACTGAGAGAGCTCTAGAGATCTGGGTATGCTCACAAGGAAATTACCCTGAGGCCAGGAAAAGAACCACAGGTTTTCCTGGAATGGGGCTTGGAAGATAAACCTGGTCCTTGTTACTCTATCATGGCAAAAGGCAGAAATTCTCATCCCATTTTTGAAATTTAGATCAGGTTTAGTGCAAACTTTAGTCTGGGGCTATTCTGGCCCCATGATAAGGCAATATTTAATGCCCTGATTAATCTTCCTGTCTTAAACAACTAGAAACCAATAAAATAATGACTTTCAGTCATTAGACAACAGATAGTAGAGTACATATAGATCAATGAAACAGAATGGAGAATACAGAAATAGATCCACAGATACATGGTCAATTGATTATCAACAAAGATTCCAAGGCAATTCAATGAGGAAAGAAAAGTTTTTCTGACAAATGGTGTTAGATCAATTGGACATCATTATGGAAAAAAATGAACAACTCTCACTTTGCACTACTCTCAAAAATTAACTTATAATAGATCATAGACCTAAATGTAAGAACTAGAACAATCAAACTTCTAGGAAAAAATAGAAAAAATTTTGTGACCTTGGTTTAGGAAAAAAGAAATATTAAATAAAACATAAAAACCATAAACTATAATAGACATAAAAACCATAAACTATAATAGAGAAATTTGATAAATTGGAACTCATGAAAGCTCTTTTGTTAGCTCTTCAAAAAACGTGATTAAGAAAATGAAAAGGCAAGGCAGAGACTGGAGGAAAATGTTTATAGCACATGTATGAGATGAAGGGCTAGTATCCTGGAATATGTAAAGAACTCTTACAATTCAATAATAAGAAGACAAAGAACTCAATTAAAAAAAAAATGGGCAAAGGATTTCAAGAGACACTTCACCCATCAGTATGTACAAATGGCAAATATGCACACTGGCAAAAAAAAGAAAAAGGGAAAACAAACACATCAAAAGATGCTTAACATCATTTAAAAAAAACAAACCAAACTCACTGCCATGGAGTCTATTCCGACTCACGGTAATTCCACGTGTTACAGAGTAGAGCTGCTCTGTAAGGTTTTCTTGGCTATAATCTTTATGAAAGCAGACTGCCAAGCCTTTCTTCTGTGGCGCCACTGGGTGAGTTCAAACTGCCAATGTTTAAGTTAGTAGTTGACCACAAACTGTTTATGCCCCCAAGGACCTTTTAACATCATTGGCCATTGGAAAACACAAAATTAAAACCACAGTGAGATACCACCACATATGCACTAGAATGGTTCTAATTAAAAAAATTGATGATACCAAGCTTTGGCAAAGATGTGGAAAAACTGGAATTCTCACACATTGCTACTGGTAGTACAAAAGAGTACAGCCACTTTGGAAAAGAGCATTTATAGTATTGGTATCTAAATATAGCTCCTCTAATGTAACCATAAAAGAGAAAGCAATTTGGAGCATAAGTGGAAAGGAAGAGGAAAAACCCAAAAGATAATGAAAAAATTATTACAATCAATGAGAAATGCAACAAGTTATAACACAATATATAGAAATTATACATAGAAACAATAGCCTGTTAGAAAAAATAAAGGAAAAGAACACCCCATTTAAAATACCTAAGCATCAATTTAACAAGAAATGTGTAAAACCTAAACATGGAAAACTTTATAATATTCTTGAAAAACACAAAACAGATTTAAGCAAATGGAAAGACATACTAAGTTCTCAGATTAAAAAAGTTCAACACTGTACAAATGTCAACTCAATTTTCTCTAGGTGAATGTATATATTTAATGTGAACCTAATCAAAATATTATCAGGAATTTTTTCCTGGAGTAGGACAAGTTAATTATGAAGTTCCTTTTGAAGAATAAACAAGCAAGAATAACCAGAAAAACCCTAACAAAAACAGCACTTCCAAACAGATGGTAAAACTAATGTATAAGGCTAAATAAAGATTTAAGAGGGCATATTCAGTGAGTGAAAAGGCAAAAACTCCTACATATCAACAAAATACACACACACACAAGCAGCCAATAAACATAATAAACATATTTTTTAAAAAGAAGTTCAACCTCAGTCACAATTCAGAAAATGCAAATTAAAACCACAATATCACTACACATAAAATGGCTAAAAAAAAAAAAAGATTGACAATATCCAGTATTGACAAGAAAATAGAGCAACATGAACTCTCATATACTTCTGGTGAGGCATAAATTGGCATAATCACTTTGGAAAGCAGCTTGACATTATCTATTAAACATACATACTACGAGCAATTCCACTTCTAGGTATATACCCAACAGAAATGCATGCACATTGCACTAGGAAGCAACCTAAGAATCTATGAAGAGAATAGAAAAACTGTGATATATTCATACAAAAAGATACACACACATGCACACATATATATTGATATATAAAAATGAATGCACTATAGCTACATGCTACATGAATCTCACAAAATGTTGAGTGAAAAACAACCTATAGCCAACATCATACTTAGTAGAAAAAGACTGAATGCTTTCCTCCAAGGTCAGGTACAAGACAAGTATGTCCAATCTTACCACTTGTAATCAACATGATTCTAGTATTCTAGCCAGAGCAACTGGGTAAACAAAAGAAATAAAAGGCTTCCAGAGTGGAAAGAAAGAAGTAGAACTATCTCTGTTTGCAGATGGCATGATCTTGTATATAAAAAATCCTAAGGAATTCACTAGAAAGACTATTTGAACCAATAAGTGAATTCAGCAATGTAGCAGGATACAAGATAAATTATATTTCTAAACACTAATAATAAATAATCCAAAAATGAAATTAAGAAAATAATCCAGCAAAAAGAATAAAGTACCTAGGAATAAACTTAAGAAATGCAACACTGAAAACTACAAAACACTGCAGAAAGAAATTAAAGATCTAAATAGATGGAAAGATATCCCATGTTCAGGGATCAGAAGACAACATTAGTAAGGTTGCAATATTCCCCAAATTGATCTACAGACGCAATATAATTCCTGTCAAAATCTCAGATGGCTTCTTTGCTGATCCTAAAATTCATATGGAGATACAAGAGGCCCAGGATAGCCAACACAATACTGAAATAGAAGAACTATCAGATCAATGGAGGAGAATTGAGAGTCCAGAAATAAATCTCGCATTGGTGGTAAATTGATTTTCAACAAGGGTGCCAAGAAAATTCAGTGGGGTGAGAAAAGTCTTTTCAGCAAATGGTACCGGGGCAACTAAATTTCCACACACAAAAGAATGAATTTGGATCCCTCTCATACCATATACAAAAATTAATTCAAAATGGACCATAGACCTAAATGTAAGAGCTAAAACCGTAAAACTCTTAGAAGAAAACACAGGAGTAAATCTTTGTGACCTTGGGTTAAGCAATAATTTCTTGGATATAACACCAAAAAGAACAAGCAACGGAAGTACAAATAGATCAATTAGACTTCTTCAAAATTAAACACTTTTGTGCTTCAAAGAACATCGTCATGAGAGTGAGAAGACAACCCACGAAATGGAATAAAATATTTGCAAATCATATATCTGACGAGGGATTTGTATCAAGAATATATAAAGAACTCTTACAACTTGTAATGGTCAATTTTATGTGTCAATTTGGCTTGACTAATGGCACCCAGTTGTTGGGTCAAACACTAATCTAAATGCTGTTACGAAGTAGTTACATATGATTAAAGCAGTTGGCCTCAAAGCAGATTACTCTCCATAATGCAGGTAGGCCTCATCCAATCAGTTCAAGGCATTAAGAGCAGAAAGGAAGTTTTCCTTAGGGTATATTCTGCCAGAACTCCTTCACTCGTTACTCTTCCCATTACCAGACCTATGGATTTTGTGACACAAGACTGCAGGAATCTTTTCCCTGTTGCCTGACCTATGAATTTTGGGACACAAAACTGACGGAATAGTCAGCCTGTCGCCTGAACTGCATATTTTGGACTTGCCAGCACCTCACAATCAACATGAGACAGAAAGTAGATTAGTGGTTGTCTGAA